CGGAGGCAGCACGGCGCTGGGCCGGGCCGGGCCGCTCGCCGCCTTCCGGTCTTCGCGCCGCTCCGCTGGGGAGCCCGTTCTCCGGGCGTGGGCACTGAGGCTCCGGCAGGGTGTGTGTGATGACGCTGGTTTCCAACCGAATTGTGTGGCCCAGAGCCCGGCCGTCACTGTCGCTCTGACTTTCCACGCCCCGCCGCGGGTTGCCTCTCAAAGCCCGGGAAGCGAGCGTGGCGCTGGCTGCGCCATCCTTCGGGGCCGCCGTACTTCCGCCCTTGACCCGCCTTGGCCGGAGCGAGGACAGGCGCCCTCCTCCGCTTGCAGAGGGAGAAACGAGGGCGTCTGAGCCAGCTGCTCCCATGCACAAATATTGACACGTTTCCTGGCCATTAGACAGCGCACCGCAGGGCAGAGTGGCCGTGTCCTTGCCCCCCTTCCTGGGGGAGCAGGGACAGTCCGCAGGCCTCTGACTCTGGTTCGCCTGTCACCCCAGGCCTGTTTCCGCACGTGTCACACAGTGACATGCGCGGGCTCCTGGCAGCCAGGGGTTGGGAGTAGGAGGTGCAGGGGGGTGGGGGGGGTGTTCACAGCAGGGTACCCAGGACCACGAGGGAGGGCTGGGATGGAGACCTTCTCGGAGGTCTGTCGAGTGGAGTGGCCCCCAGGGCCTCTCTGCCCCCTCACAGGTCTCCCAATTACTTTACATGTGGACTGGTTTTCAAAGCTGTGGGCGCTGCCTAGAGGACTGGGGACCCCAGGGTCTCTTCTACTTGGGGACTGTGGTCCTGGGCAAAGCCACATGGGCTCGCTGTCCTCCGTGTAAAATAGGCAGATGGCCTGTGGGCGAGCTCTTTTTTTTTTTAAGGGGGCTGGTTTGTGCTTCTGTCAAAGCCCCTCTTACGTGTGTTTAGCACATACATACACCTGACATGCATCGGGGACCCTGGAAAATATGATCGCGTTCGGGCCTCTGATGTCATCGTCTTCTTAGACAGGCAGGAACAAAAAGGTTCCCTAACTGGCCCAACATCACACCCAGTGGAGGCGCTGGGATTCAAACCCAGGCTCTCCAGACTTCATGCGGTTCAGTACGACCCTGACCTTGGTCTTCGCTGCCAATTCTTTCGTTTCTGGTGGACACATCTTGTATTCCTCTGCCCTCTGCTATTTGCAGTCAGTCCAGAGAGAGAAAAAGACCCATTGCCATCGAGCTGGTTGGGACTCATCACTGATCATTCGTTGTGCCTTCTTGGAGCCCCTGTGTGTGTGGGGGGCGGGTCTTCTTGTTACAGCAGCCTAACCTATACCCTAACTGTACAAACCAACCCCAAGCCCATCGCATGGAGTCCATTCTGATTCGTAGACATCCTGTAGGGCAGAGCAGAACTGCCTCTGGGGGCTTCTAAGCCTGTCATCTTTATAGAAGCAGACTGCTATGGTTTCCGTTTTTGGAAGGGCTGGTGGGTTTGAACTGCCAACCTTCAGGTTGCCAGCCAAGTGCTTCTCCACCAGGGTCATCAGGGCTCTTTCTGGCAGTTGGCAGCTGCCCAATGGCCTGGGAATGAACTAGTTAACCCCACTCGCCCAGCTGGGTGGTGGGCATTATGTGGTTTCCCAGGTGGAATGGCCAAGACCGCACAGTGGCTTCCTGACAGAGCAGGTCCAGGGCTCAGAGGTTTTGATGTCCAGTCTTGTGCTTCTATGGGGGTGTCCCCTGCCCCCCAACCCTCTTGCATGCTCATTGAGTATCTCCAGGGACGAGGACCCAACCAGAGGCCAGTCCAACTATAGGGGATGCCCTCCCACCACAGCCCAACTGCAGGGGGGCACCCTCCTGCCACAGCCCAACTGCAAGGGGTGCCCTCCCACCACAGCCCAACTGCAGGGGGGCACCCTCCTGCCACAGCCCCACTGCAGGGGCGCCCTCCCACCACAGCCTGTCCTCTCACCACAGCCCCACTGCAGGGGCGCCCTCCCACCACAACCCCACTTCAGGGGGCGCTCTCCCACCATGGTTTTGGGTTCATACATTCATCAGAGTTTGTCTCTGTGTCTGGCGTCCTGTGGAACCCAGGCTGCCACCTCCTTGTGGGACAATGGCCTCCCTTGCAGCTGAGGAGGGGCCCAGAGCCCTGTGCCTCCCAGTGAGCTGCTCTCTGCTGATGCATGAAATCCAGGCCCAGCAGTCCTGGGCAGTTGCCTGGCAACCGCTGTGGGGAGACAAGTTCAAGGTAAGGTCTTGGATCTTCACAGCAGGGATGGCTGGAGAGGAGGATCGTCTGCTGTGGAGGGGTTGTCCTCCCCCTCTCCCCGCTCTGGCTCACACTGCAGGCCTCCTAACCCGCAGGTGCCAGCCTGGAGCCCCGTGACAGCGCCTCTGCCCCTCCCTCGCTCGTTGACTCGGGCTCGTCTTGACCAGGGCGGCACAGCAGGTCGTGGCACTGCCCAGACTGCCTTGGTTCAACCCGGGCTCTCTCACATACGTGTCACTCGACCTCCCAGTGCCGCGGTTTCTAGTCTGTAGAACAAAAGTCCTTCCACCAACTACAGAAAGGTCCTGAAAGAGTCAGAAACAATGCCAAGTTTGGTTTGGAGTGGTTTGGCTTAGCTTGGCTTGATTTGGTTTGTTTTGGTTTGGAGTGGTTTGGCTTACTTTGGTTTGGTTTGGTTTGGAGTG